TTCTGTGTAGTATTCATCCTGGACATAAATTCTTTCAAGTCCTACCCTCAAAACAACGCTATAGAGCACTGCACACCAAGACAACTAGACACAAGAACAGTTTTTCCCCGAATGCCATCACTCTGCTAAACAAATAATTCCCTCACCACTGTCAAACTATTCACTAAGGCTGCATTACTATTACTATTAATCTTCTCATTGTTCCTATCACACATCTCCTCCCACTTATGACTTCAGGACTGTAACGTTGTTGCTTGTATCTTTATGATTTATATTGATATTGATGGTTTCCTGATTGCTTATTTGTACCCTATGACTATCATTAAAGTGTTGTACCTGATGATTCTTCATAAGATTCAGCTCTGGGCAAACTGTAGGATTTAAAGGATTTAAATTTAAAGGATTTAGAGGATCCAAGGGGCAAACTGACTGGGGAAGATCCGTTTTTATTTTCAACTTCTGTCTGTGGTTGGACCACCCATCTCAAAATGTTCTCAAGGTATCTTAATAAAGAAGTCAAATTTGTTCATCTCAGCAAGGAAAGAACTGTTCAATCTGGGATTTGTCAGATGAAATCCAAAACTTATCTTAAATTCTTGAAAACTCCTGAAGGACTTCTAAAGTTTTATTATTTTCTCTGAAATCGGAGAAGGAATGAAGAAAGAAGGGCAAAAAAAAAAAAACATCGAGAAAGGCTAGAAAGTAGAACTGGTAATTAAGAACCAACCAGTGAAGAGTAACATAAGGGGATTAAGCACCTGTTTGGCAGTTAATGGATGGAAGCAAGGAGAAAGGAAAATAATCAAGAGAATCCAGTTTCACTTAGGAAATCTGAATGGATATTGAAATCCACAGTGATCACACGGCGAATGATTGGGGAAACACACACGATTCCTTCTGGTAGCCTTGGGGAATGATAAAAACAGCTTGATATACTGAAATTCAAACAAAGATGACCTTGGTTGAGCGAGGCAAGGGAGAACACAAGCCCTCCCTGCAGGATCCAACTACACAGAAGGAGTTAAAGTGAGGATAGGTTACTGCTGGAACAGCTGCTAAGGGCTCTTGATTCTGAGGGAGAAAACAATATTTCAGATACAATAGATAAAGGCACTCGGCCATCAAAAATACACGACAATAAAGCACTTTGATCATAAAAATAAGTCCACTGAGTTCAATGGCAACTTACTTCGCACCAAGGCTGAATGCAACTTATCTCTACATAATTCTAATTCTACTTTTTCAAAAGTTTGACCTTAAATAAAGGCGACTGAAGCACAAGGCAGCTTTGCTTGTGGCGGTGGGTGCTTACGTAAAAAAACGTAATGCGGGAAGAAGACATCTTGGAATTAAAGGAGGATTCTATTATTGCATTTTACCACTCGGCCTGTTGTACTGGGCAGGTAGTCCTCGACTTACAACAGTTCATTTAGTGACCATTCAAAATTACAACGGCACTGAGGAAAGTGACTTATGGCCGTTTTTCTCACAACCATTGCAGCATTCCCATGGTCACCTGATCAAAATTCAGATGCTTGGCAACTGGTTCCTATTTATGATGGTTGCAGTGTCCCATCAGCTCATGAGATCAGCTTCTTCGAACTTTATTTGTTTGTTTGTTTGTTTGTTTGTCAACAAGTATAAAAACACGTGGCACAAATAAATGGATATAAATAAGCAAAACATAGCCATCAACACATAAAAAGAGGACATATAAATGGGACAGTAGGAGAGGGATGGCAGGCACTTATGGTGCGCTTATGCACGCCCCCTTCTGACACGCAAAGTCAACGAGGGATCCAGATTCACTTAACTGCAGCGATCCACTTAACAACTGTGGCAAGGAAGGTTGCAAAATGGGGCAACTGTCTCACTTAAAAACATAAATTTGGGGGCCCCATTAATCATACGTTGGAGTAAACACCCTGGCAATCCATCCAATTTCTCCGGATGAAATGGGCAGAAAGGAGAAACTGGGATCCGAAAGGAAGACATCGGCAAACGTTGACTGACCTGATGTAAGGCACCAACCATTTTGCGAGTCTCTTGATAGACGGTTTCGGAAGCCCAGTGGGGGTTCAGCTCCTTTAGGGCTTTGGCCAGGCGGTTGTGCTCTCGCAACCAGAGAGTGTGCAGAGCAGCCAAGGAAAGCACTTCACTCGACCTGGTATCGCCAGCCATGAAGCACTCGATCCTCTCTGCTTTGTCCTCCCTTGGGTCTTGGGCGCAAGGAGAAGGCACCTGGTCAACAAAAGGAAGATATCCAAGCCCTTTATCAAAATGCCGCAGGTTAATTCTAAGGAGGCCTCCTTCGCTGGTCAGATTCCTTAGCCTGCTCTCCGCAGCAGCTGTGCTGCCGTAAACAGTCGAGGCATCCAGGAAGGAAGTAACTGTATTCATCTGTTGCCTTGGGTTTTCCGCCGATAGATTTCCTAACGCTTTCCCCTGTTGGCCAGTGGAGCATGAAGGCGTTGAACGATAAAAAGGGATGCAATCCATCCTTGTAGAGAATGTATCATTGGAGAAGATCTGTGAATCAAATGAATTATTTTCATGAAAGAGCGTAGCCTTTTTAAAAGTCACAATGTGGATCATATTTACTAAGTTATTTTAATTTAATTAATAAATTAAGTTAATTAATTAAGTTATAGGAGGTATAAAGCCACACATATTAATAGAAAGGTGTTTCCTACAGTAGAAAGACCCTCCTACAGTAGGCCTTCTCCAGTACAAATTTATAATCCTTGCTGCAACTTCGTTTTACAACTCACCTCCATTTTTAAACAGTGTTGTGTAGTAAGGCCCAGTGCAAACACCAGGGATCAGCACGCATGAAAGGCCTCTATTGAATAGCAAGAGCATGTAGGCTTATATACCGCTTCACAGGGATTTTACAGCCCTCTCTAAGGGGTTTACAAAGTCAGCATGCTGCCCCTGACAATCTGGGCCCTCATTTTACCGATCTCAGTAGGATGGAAGGATGAGTCAACCTTGAGCCCGAATGGGTAGTGTCAGTCCTGCAAGCCGTTTTTCTTTTTTCTTTTTTGGCCTTCAGTGCTGATACCCTTCATATTATCCCACCTTTTCTGTTGTGGGAATATGGGAGAGGGGATTATACAGAGTTGGGTGATATGTAGCCATAACAAAATTCTTTCTAGGAAGTCAAGGTCATCCTTTGTCTCTGCACCTGGCCGGAACTGGATGGATGGAAGCTGCCAGCGAGGGAGACATTTCTCTCTCTGGGTACAATGAGTAATTATCTGCTGCGAACTCTGCATTAGGCGACAGGAAGGGCATCCGGCCAGTAAACATTCAGCTCCCTTCAGTTGCCCCGACTCCACCCCCGATGTAAGGGATTACGGGGTCATTAAAAGACAAAAAAATGTTTCTTTTAATATCCAGCATACAACACACAGAGATATTTATACTTGTTTTGTTTATGAATTGGGGGAATCCTATCTGAGCTGAGCTGCAAAATTCTAGCTGCAGAAAACTCGGATCTTTTGCTGACATCCAGGGATTGTCCAGTTATTTCCAGCACACATTTGGGTAACTGTAGTTTAAGGTGCAGATTTAAAAAAAATATATATATGCAAAAATATTGATGGTGGTGGGGACTTATAGACCTAAATAAATAAACCAGGAGGAGGGGGCATAAAAGGAGAGGACTGAACTCTTTCCTTTGATCTGTGGTCTTAAAGAAAATCTCTCCAAATGTCATCTGCTTTGCTGCCTTTATCTCTCTTTCCGGAGGGGAATCACGCTTACAGATTTCCAAGGGAGAAGCCTTTTGTGGCAGAGCAAGTTGTCATACGCCACAACTGGGAATGTCTTTTCTGTCGTGTTATGCATGAACGAGTTGAATTTCTTTTTTTCTTTTCTACTCCTTTGTGCAGTTGCTGGAGTTATGCAGAAAGGAAGGAGGAACAAGCACTTCATGATCTCTACGCAGGAGAAACCATTCTGTATGGAGAGGGAATTCTTATACAGCAGTCCTCGACGTACAACACCATTTGACGTTACTGAAAAAAGTGGCCATCTTTCACACTGACCACCATTGCAGCATCCCCGTGGTCATGTGATCAAAATCCAGCCGCTTGGCAAGTGACTCACATTTATGACGGCTGCAGTGCCCCGTTGGGGTCAGGTGTGTGATCGGATTATGCAACCTTCTCATAAGCAAAATCAGTGGGGAAGCCAGATTTACTGCACTGGTATTAACAACTGCAGTGATTCAATTAGCAACTATGGCAAGAGAGGTTGTAAAATAGGGCAAAACTCACTTAACACATGTTTCACTTAGCAACATAAATTTTAGACTCAGTTGTGGTCGTGAGCAGAGGAGTACCTGTATTTGGCATCTGTAGAATATAAATTAAAATGCAGGAATTATGCAGTATTCAGAAGCCTTTCCCAATTTCCCTTTTTTGTCCCTGTGGAAATCACTTGGCCNCTAGAGTCAGGAACGACTAGCACATACAGTATGTGTGAGGGGAACCTTTACCTTTAACAAAAGAGGGATATTGATAGCGGTTTCCAACTTTCAATACTTTATTGTGAAACCTTGCAGTAAACATCTGATCAAAATCTATGTAATCCGTACATCTTGATCATATCCTGCTTTGGGAGGGTTTTTCAATTATGTTTTATTTTCCTGTAGGAACTTCAGGTGAGACCACGAAGGAGCACTGGAATTTGCCACGCAGGCAGAGCTGAAGGGGATTGGGGGGGCGGGTGTGCGGAGGAAATGGGCCCATGATTTCAGAATACAGAGACTCAAATAGATTAATCTGGGTCTCCAAAAAAGTAACAGGTTATAATAAAAAGAATAACAATTGGAAAGCAAACAAGTCCTAGCACTCACTTTAAAAGCATTATCTATAATCTGAATCTCCGAGAGAGGAAATGGGGGAGAAAAAAGCAAATCTGAAGACTGTTATTCATAGAAGGATATATTTTTTCTGAGTGGACACTCAGTAGAGAACAATTATTTTATGAATACTTGATTGATCTTCAGTTTACCGAAGGGCTCAATTTGCAAAGCAGCGTGAGATGGTAATACATTTAATTAACTGTGATAATTCACACTTGAAGGTTGACATATGCCTTAATAAGGCATTCAGATTAGTTACAGTTGATTTGTCTTTATTGAAATGGCATAAAGATCGGCATATAGTGCTATTTCACTCAATTAAAAATAATGATATGTTAATTTAACAGCTTAGCCCGTTATTTTCTTCTTGATTGCTTTAATATTTTAGCCGACAACTGACTGTTCCTGGGAGAAGAAGCTCTCCAATAGATTTCTGGGGAAGAAGAAGTGTGTAAATATTTTTTTTAATGATGATAGAACACTTGGAAGCACTTGTGGGCCAGAGAGTTCTGCTACTGTGCATAAAAGTCCAGTATTCATTTAAACTCTCTCAAGTGAAGGCAGTAAAAACCAGTGATACAGTCCACAATCTGCCAAGTGGCAATCTGGGCATAAAAGACCTTTTGTTCATAAACTCCAAATAAATTTGTACCTGAACATAAATATGATTTATATGCTAAACTCCTCCATAAGATGGTATAATGCAGCTACAGTAAACTGACAACCTACAAATAGTCCAGGGTTTAAATAAAGCTGTATCCACGCAGGGAGATGCGTGGCTTCTGGATCTGCAAAAGGCCCATTATTTCACTGCCAAGGCTTCAACTTTTACAAGAAAGCAAATCTATGTTTGCACATTGTCAAATGAACCAAACCTCAACAGTTGCAGAGAAAAAGCAAAGCAATATAAACCATGATCTAGTTTGTACACCATAACTAAACCATAATTTAATATCCTCCATCCAAAGGGGGAATGAGCCTGGGGAAATGCCAAAGTCCACTGTCCATTTCAGCAAATTCCTCATTTATCACTATGCTAAACCCTGAAGTGAGATTTAAAATAAACACTAATTTAGCAGACTAGAGTTTAGGTACTTTAAATTAGAAATGTAGATGTGGATACTAAGATTTACCTGTTGTTGCAGGCTCCAGTGATGCTTCTGTACTTGTTGGTTGCAGAGTTGTTTTGACACTTAGGTGGTAGCATTTCAGGCACACATCCAGGTATATTGGAAACCACAAGGAAAACTTCACTAGGTAACTGATCTGGAATTTTTTAAAAAAGGGCCACAATTCTTTTCATCAATAATATTTTACGGATAGCAAACACTATCACAGAGTATGATAGATTGGTTTAAGGATTTAATTTCAAAGACATGGTCCTACAAGGTCTATATGACTTTAAAAAAAACCAAGGCAGGTGCAGGAGGCAGTTTTGATATTTTGAAAACAACCCATCTATTCTAAGCCACGATGAGCTGGTGCCTTCAACTTTATTCTTCTAAAATATCCAACTTTTCAAAATTTGAGTGCTTGGCTTGAGCAGTAGGACAGTTCCAAATAATGCAGACATTGTCAACTTCATGAAGAGACTGATAACACTTCACAAACTGAGATTTTTGCCATATCTTCCAGCTACTCTGAGCCGCTGTTTAGGCTTAAGAGAGCGTTGGCTCGTTCCTAGTTTCCCTTCAAATAATCTGTGATAGGAGCTCTGGAAAGGAAACTCCAAAAGTGTCTCCATCTGAACTGGATATTACAGATTGTTTCTTCTGTAGAGATAAATTAGACAATCTGTCCTCATCTGCATATCTGTGTATCCATTTAGAATTCTGATTAATATAAGTACACCCCAAAGCACCAAGCCCAGTGATGTATCTGAGCACTTGCTGTGAGAGAAATTCTTCTTTATGGACTGAGCATTGCCAGGAGTGGTTGATTATCAGGATCCACATCCTTTCTGTTCAAGTATTTGTTGAATTGCTTAACTCTGCAAACCAAACACAGCTGTTCCCTGTCTGCTTGCGCATAGTTCTTATGTACAGCTGTAAGGCAGCATTATGGGAAAGCAGCCTCTCACGACACATGAGAGAACGATGGCCGAATTAGTTGTGAGGAATCACATGCCAGCTTCACTGATTAATGTGGGCTATAATATGGAAAGCATCATATAGGCTGCCACCATTCTTTGCTTCTCTGAAAGCTTCTCATGAAGCTCTTAATAACAAAAAAGATTCCTGATTCTTGTGAAGAGAAGACTTTTATAAACAGATTCATGAAAGAGAAAATAGATTAGGTACAGAAATCTTGATGGCTAGATACTTTCGCTTTTAGATCCCAGTGTATCTCTGAGTTGATGATACTGNACCTGTATTTGGCATCTGTAGAATATAAATTAAAATGCAGGAATTATGCAGTATTCAGAAGCCTTTCCCAATTTCCCTTTTTTGTCCCTGTGGAAATCACTTGGCCAACTCAGCTACGGTTGAATCCCCGAAAAGTTGTTGTACTTTCCCACTTTCAGTTACTTTGTGGAAGGAAGGTGTCACAAAGAAGTGTTGATTAAGTTACATATAACATTGCCATTCTTTGTTCTGATTATTAATATCAGTGAAGTTACAGGAGAGAAATATGCTGACAATTCAAAGAAAGCAGTGTAGATTTCCCTATTTTGGTGAAGCTGAAAATATTCAGCTAAATACTTTTTACACATTTGGAACTACCCTTAATATTATCTCATGAGGTTTTTTATCATTGTGGCATCGGAATTAGTGGTGTTGCACAACGGTTTTTACACTGGATCATCTTAATTTTTTCATTTGGGGAAATACAGTGGAGCTGGCATGTAAGTATGGAATTCTGTCATAATTCCACTGTATGTTAAATGCTAACAGAAAAATTCTTCTACTAATGATTTGAGGGTGCATGTTCATAGGATGTTTGATCCTTAATCATTAGGAGAAAATATTTCTAGCTATTTGACTATATTTATCACAACAGCAATTTAAATAAAATATAATTACCATGCTGCTTTTAGAAAAATTAATTACTGTCAGGACATCAAATAGCTCCTAGCTATTAAAATCTATCTCAGAATTATAATTATCACACTCAAGAGGATTCTTCTGTTTTGAGGGAAGAAATTCATTCTTCGGAGGTACTTTTCTTAATCTTCAAAGAAATGATATATTAAATGGAGATTAAAGGGAGAAGAAAAATTTAGAGACCAATTGCATAAGAGGTGGGGGACTCACCTCTGCCTTCATTTATATTTATTTATTTATTATTTATTATCTTTTCACTTCCCCCACCCAAGTAGTATTCTTGACCATTGGGTTGAGTAGACTGGCAAAAAGCTTGGAATCTATATTAGCATTTGAATTTGGAATACTTTTATTTCAATGTTGCATACTTTTAAGCTGTATATGTGTTTATGTTTAGGGTGCAGTAAACATGAACACAGTTTACTTCACAGTAAACCAAAATATGAAGTTGTGTAACTTTGACTCAGCATGTTATTACTACTTTATGTGAATTCAGCCAACTATGCCTTGTTTAACAAGCCATGGTTAATCAAATTAAAATATTTGAATACAGCCAAAGGGTTGTAATGGCTTGTCAGTTTGACAAGACATAAAAGAATGGAACAAATTGCTATAAAATACCTATTATGTCGCCTATGGAGGTTATGGAATAAATGAATATACTCCTCAATTATCTAGTACAAAGTCAAGATATCTAACCAAATTACCAAGTCCTGTCTGTGTCCTTCGTAGGGTAACATCTGTTTCCACTAGATTAAAACAAAATGGAGATATCTGGGATGGATTTCTTGAATGTAAAACATATCCCCAAACCCAGAGGGACAATTTTCATTACAGCTGGGCTGGATTTTCATTATAGCTGGTGGGTCCCTGAAGAAGGGTTGATATTTCCTCAAAGGACTGCCTCTTTTTTAATAGCCATGCTGCACAGGATGGCGAGACTTCCGAATATGCTCACCACTGGAATTTCATGCCTCGAATACATTTGCTTGCACAGATACGCCCCAAAGGACGCCACTCGAAGCCCTTCGAGAGCGAAGTAGTTGAAGTACATACAGGCACAGATATGTAAAATATGCAATGACGGATGATTTGGTCACATCCAGGTAGACATCTATGAATGGGACTCTTTTAAAAAGAGTATTTAAAAGTAAATAAAATTTATTAAACTGTACCTGTATGGGGAAGCATGGATTTTGGTTTGCACAGGTCACTTGGCAGTTGAGGGCTCCCTGGAAGGAAGGTGGGTTCTCACTTTGAGGAGTGAAGGCCAGGTCGTGGTCGATATACTGGCCCCACACAGTGATCAGATCAGAATATAACTCATCTTCAGTGACAGCCTCGTTAGACGCCTCAATAATTTTTCTCGTCACTTCACGTACCTGGAAGACAATAAGTTAACAAGTCACCATGTTACACAGTATTTTTTTCCTAATGTTACCCCAGCCCTAAAAAAGCCCCCAACTCCAAATTGTTGACTTATTTCTCTATGTTTTGACAGACTGGTGCTTGTATGCAGGTATAGAAGTTGGACATCACAGAAGGTTGAATCACATATTTACCAGCATGTTATTCATCCTTTTGGAAAATAAGAAACTTGCGACTGATATCTTGAGGGAGACTCACATAACTTGATTATTTGATAACTACTAACTGGGCTCCTATACATGGCTACTCAGGTGTGACTTCCATTTAGTTCAATGAGACTTATGTACAATTACACTCTAAGGGGTCTTACATAGCATCCTCAATCATATAATGAGAGTACTTCGGTCCACCCAAAAAAGAAGATGGGAAAGAAACTGAAAAAGCTTCTGAGGGGAAGGACTGCTTTCTAGCACCTGGATGACAGCCTAGAAGCAGTCAGGCAACCAGATATTTGTCTTTCGGATGGTATTCATGCAGGTCCAGAGTCCCTTTCCCAGGCAGAAATACAGAAGTTGTCTTGCCTGTGATGCAGTGAAAGATTTGCCCATTATGCATAAGAGATTGCTAATGGTTAAGATGCTGGGCTTGTCGACCGGAAGGTCAACAACTCAAGAGCCAAAAACTGCACAAACACGGTGAGCTCCTGTTCCAGCCCCAAATCTTGTCAACCTAGCAGTTTCATATCATGCAAATGCAAGTAGATAAATAGGTACCACCAGTGGGAAGATAACAGCGTTCCGTGCACCTCACATACAGTCGTGCTGGTCATGTGATCACAAAAATATCTTCAGACAATGCTGGCTTCCTTGGCTAAAAAACAGAGTTGAACACTGCCCCCTACAGTCAAACATGACTGGACAGGAGAAACCTTTATCCTTTCAGTTTGCAGGCTCTAGCAGTGCAATGAGACAAATACTGTGTTTTATTTGTTTTAGTATTGGTGCTGATTTTATACAGTATGTACAGACCTCCTTCCTACAATTTATGCATGCAACTTGTGGAAGTAGCAGAGCTCACAGATTTGAGGGGAGCAACTCTTATTCTAATATGTTCAAAAACGTCTAAGATCAAATACATCTATCCAGCCCTTAATCATATCTCCCTTTTTCCATTCATTAGAAACAAGGCCTTAATTTCCCACATATCTAATGTTCATGAATGAATAATTCCATGTCAACATTTCCCCAATCAATGGGATCTTGGCTGGAAAAGAAGGGAAGCACCATCTAGAACCTTTTCTTTGTGATCTTCCTAACCCTTACCCCATGCAGCCCACCTTCTATCATTCAAAGGCAGAGAATCTGTGTCTCTCCAGATAGTGATGAGGGCAACATCTTAGCAGTGTGGGAAAATATGAGGACTGCTGGGAATTTTAATTCACCAACATACAGAAGGCTGAAACTCATCCCTATAATCCTATAATCTGCGGATTAGAAGACAGTACACAAAGTTGCCCCCAGCATAGAGCTGATCGATCTGAAGGAATCAACTTGTCTTTCCATATCCTAAGCAATGTCAGGGTTTTCACTCTGCAAGTGGACATGAAGAGAGTGACAAAAATGAAAGATGTACAATGGCACTTTGGTACTCAACTGCTTTGATACTCATTGGATTTGGTACTCAATGCATTTTGACATGAACGTTTTGTCCCAGTACTCATCATTTGTTTGGTACTCGATGCACAAATTGGAAATTATCAGTGTCGGCTGCCTTGTGACTCACTACATTATATCTTATGATAAAAATGTGTTTGGTGCTCATCGTTTTTGGTATTCATCATACCTCCAGAAACCAGTTAATGCTGAGTATCAAGTTACCACTGTAGTACCTAAGCTCTGTTTCTTGAACTTTTTATGTTGGCATATGGTACATACCATCCTCATGAAGACTTTTCTGATCTTCATTATCTTTGGAACTGCTGAGTTTGATTACTGTTAATAGCTACTATTTGATTATGTTTGTTGGATTGAATGTTTCTGGATTATAGAAAGTTACTTCTCAGTGGGCTTCCTTATTTTTTTCTTGCCTGAAAGCTTATGTTTCAGCACAGTATGGATGCCTTCTAAGGGACTTTATTTTGAAAAATGATTTTGTCCTGTACTGACCGAAGGCAATGGAAATCCATGATGTAAGAAACCAAGATTCCATCCTCTGGGCTGGCTTAGTTCATCTTCATAAACTGGAGGAAGCCATCTAGCTAGAGCAGTGTTGGAAGCGCCCCAAGTAGGATGTTCCCTACGTAATTAAAATAATTAAATTAAAACAATTTATATCATTACAATCATTCATTATAACAGTCTATTCTATGCGTAATTTCCTTTCTATTCTTACAAGCAGTCCTCAGTTAATGACAGCAATTGAAATTTCCATGACTAAAGTGTGAAGTGATGCCATGTGACTTCATCAGTGAAGTGATGACCGTCTCAGCAGTTCTCTTTGCCAATGTCAAATGAGGATCATTTACAGGGTCCCCATTGTAATTTCCTATCAGGTTTCAGCAAGCAAAACCAATGGGAAATCTGGTGGGAAGTCACGAGTCCTGTAGGTTTGCAAGCAGGCTGGTGGGCAGGTAAGTGGTTGCTCTGGGAGATGCTACAGACCAGAGTGAGTGCAGTTAGTGGCTGCTGATGACTGGAGCAAGCCAGTGAAGTGGCACAAGGTGTTCTGTAGCCTTGCAAGAGTTTCCAATCCTTGCATAGCGAGTAGCTGCCTTCCTCCCACTGCCTCATCAGCAGTGGTAGGAATGAGATGGATCAGTCCCCGGGGCAACAGAAGCAGTAGAACACCG